CTCTTCTCACATTTTTAAGTTTAGATGTAAAGAAAAAAAAAATTTCTTTTTTTTGATATATTGAGCTTGAAGATTTGATCAATGCTGTTGATAGAGCAGTTTTACGACAGTAGTTTTGAGTTGACGACTAGCAGTAGATGTTGGAAGGTTTTTTGAACAACCAGTATAGGACAGTAAGAAATTTCAACTTGTTGCCGCCTATTTATTTTCTACTTATCTTCTGTTCCTTTTTTTTTTCCTTTTATTTTTTGCATGCTAACAACAGCAGTAACACAGTTTATGTAGATTTTTGCTTTTTTTTTTTTCGTATCGTTAATGAATTCTACACATGAGTAAACGAATTTGTCTAAGGTAGGAAAATGTTATGCAAATCATAAAATGGCAGTGTTTTTCTTTCGATTAATGCTAAATGACAAATACAGAATTTTTTCTTTAATTTTTTTTGTCTTTTTAATATGCACTGCAGTGTTTCTGTTATTTATTTGTTGCTGCCGTTTTCCTAACAAATTATTTGAACAACAGAAAAAAAGGGCACTAAAATGCAACACTGCTTTTTTGCGTCTGCAAAAATCCTACTTGTTTTTTGATTAATTTATTTATTTTTTCTCTGCTTAGTCAGAAGCTAAAGGTCTAAATAACGGGTTTTTTTTTCTACTATGGGTGGGTTTCAGTAAATTGTTGTAAAGTTGTGAATTTGACTGATCAGGAATCGTCGAGCGCTTGGAGGTGCGGGAAATCGTTAGTGTTAGTGTTGCAATAGGTCTTAACGTTCGAACAATTTGTTGGCAGATTGGTGCTTTTACTTTATGCCACTTTCTAATAAGAAACAGTAATCGTATTTGTTACAATTTATGTCGTCAATCACACTTCTCACTAGTCTTTTTTGAAATTTGATGACATTATAGCTTTCGCATGCATGCTTTTTAGCTGTCATTGTTTGATTAGAAACTATGTTAAAGATCCGAATATATATATTCATATAAATATATATACATATACATATATATAATTTTTTTCTGTTGCTGAAGAGACTTAAGTTAATAAATTGATTTCTTGTTGAACATCATGGTTAGGTTTTACCACAGTTAAGCGTTCAAGGCGCACCGGCTTTAAGTATGAAAGGTAAGTTTTGGCATCAGTTGAATGTGCATTTCTTAGGTTTACTGTCATATGCGTTTATGCAGTCTCGGTTTTGAAAGATAGAAAGCATGGCAAATTGAACGCACTGGGATGGCAGTAGAAATAAGAATGGTACAGCCATTACAGTACCATTACGAAAATCTGACATTGATTTTAGAAATAATCTGTTATTTCTTAGTCAAAAAATTGTAGTTACTAGAGTGGTTTTTCTACTGTTTAGCAAAAGAATGGGGAGCATGTGTCGAAGCCCTATTTTTAAGTGGTGGTGACTCCCTGTTTTGTTTGATGAAAACAAATTTTACGACGTCTAATGTATTGATTGCAGGTTAGTGGCTATGCGTCAATGCCAATATCACCATTTCCGACCCAAAATGTTCCAGTTAGTTCTGGAGTAGTGCTAGGGTCTAGTGGGCCAGGAATTTTGTATAAAGGTGGTGGTGGACCTGATGTGCACAGTCAAACAAGTAGTGCTGATGGTTCGAGTGGAAGTGAGAATAGAAGAGCGTAAGTTGTTATCGTTGTTTTTGCTGCTGATGATGATGATACTGATGCTATTGATGTATTTTTAATTAGTGTTTGAACCAAACATGCTGCAAAATTTTCTAAAATTTTGATTATATAATTTCCTTTATAGGGCCAGAGCTATTTTACCACCTGCGCCATTACCGACATTGAGTGGTCCACATCATCTGCCGGTTGGTAATTCGGCATCGTTAGTTGCCGGACCATCAGTTGGTGTTGTACAAAACAGCTTAGGCGAATTACCGCAAGATTTAACATCGAGTAGGCAAAGTTTCCGGATTGCAATGAGTCAACCATTTGAATTTTTTGTGGATAATCTATAACGCAAAATAAAAATTTAGGAAGAATTTATTGTTCTTGTTTTTTTTATTTCTTTTTTCTCTGTACTTTTTTTGTTCTGCTTTTTTGTGTTCCTATCATGAAAGAAAAGGAAAGGGAAAAAGAAGTAAAAAAAAAATAAGAAAGTTTGTTACTGGTGGAGGTGGCATTTCTAGTACTGGTACTAGTGCTGCTACTACTACTGCTGTCAATACTGCTGTTACTGCTTTCCGGTTGGAACGATCATATAAACGAGACATTTTATGTGTTTATTGGTATTGTTTATTTATTATATTTATCCGACTTCCGCAAACTTATTAGAGTTTATTGGTTTTCTGTACCCGAAAATATTGCTGTATGTTCAACGATTTCTTTTTTTTGGTTTTTCTATTTCTATTCAGTAACTGTTAAATATATTGTACGTCATTCAGTTTTTTACTCTCTTTTTTTTGTCTTAATGGATTGGATATAATGATTTAGAAGTCTCTGTTTACTGTGCTACAGAAAAAACTATACATTGTTTTTATTTTGTAAACAAGCTGTTGCTTAAACTGTTTTAGTATATTTGCGGCTTTATTTTTAGCATAGAGGAGAAACAACTAGAAGAAAGAAGAATAAAAGATTTTTTTTGTAGCTGATTTTTTTTTCAGTTTTTTTTCAGTCTGCTGCTTCTCTATTTATTTCGACAAATTTTTTTACTTTTAAGTGCTCTTTGTTTCCGTTCAATTCTTTCACATTGATTTCTTTTTTCTTTTTTTTAGTGATATATTTGGAGCAACAAAAATGGTTATTTTTCAAATGGTTTAAACGGTATTAATGCGGTATTTCTGTATACAGTTACATAGTTTTTTTGTTTCAGCCTATTTATTGTGACATTGAAACTGTATACTGTTTCATTTTTTTTTTTTTTTTTTTTGGTTTCTGAAATTTACTTGAATGGTTTTTTGAAGTTTTTAAAGATCTGTTATTACTGTGCTGGAACGAGAAAAAGCTTTACTGGGTCAAGTTAGTTCATTATTCGGTATTATCTGCTCGTGTAGATTCTTTTTGCTGATTCTGATAAAATTTAGTTTCATTGTTTTTCTGCTTCATTTTTTTTCGTTACATTCGCTTTTGTAAATCAAAGGTTTCTTTTTTGGCTTTTTGCTTTTGAATATTTTATATATGATTCGGATTCTGTTTCTGGCCTTGAATCATCAACATCAGGCGAAAATATCTGGGGAAAGTTTTTTTCATGCTTTTTCAGCTCTGTCCTCTTCTGATTTTGTTTTTTTTTTTTTTTTTTATCTGATATTCAACCTGTATATATATGACTGCTCGACAATTTAGTTTTAGTTGTATTTCCTGTTCGATTTCTCTTTGAAATTTTTTCCTTTTTCCTCTCTTCCTGTTTTTCCTCTTCTTTCTTTTTTGTGCGAACATTTGTTCCTTGTTATGCTTGTAAGGTTTTTTATCTACGGAATATTCAGTATTCATTGATCAAATTGTTCGTTGCTCAGTGTTTAATAAAGTGCTTTTTTCACTTGTAGAAAAATTTGCAGTTTGAATGGTCTTTGTTAATGTAGTTGAAAATGACAGAGCGCCAGCAACTTAGCAATTGTATTACAGCCAAAAAAAAAAAAAGACTTCTTAAATTTAGTGGTCCTACGGTTGCTTCTGAATTTTGCTTTAGAACAATTTTTTTTGGTTTTTATCAGCTGCCAATCATTTGGTCAAGATTGCAGTGAAGTGTGGTTATTGCAACAATTAGAAAATAGACTCAGTGTTTACAGAGTTAAATGTAACATTTGTTTTTTTTTTTTTCTGCTGCTAAAGTAAACGTCTAAAAATTGAACGATGATCAGAATGGTTGTTCATGAATAATACAATTTTTCTTTTCTTTTCTGTGTTAAGGAATAACATTTTGTTTTAGCCTGAAATCTGCTTTTTTTAATTTTACAATGACAGTAATAGTGTGGGCTTTATTTTGTTCTTGTAGCCAATGATTGTGTTCGTCGATAATGATGGATGAATTACAGCGCTTGATTAGCTGATGTTCCACTGTACAGACAACCATAATAATTGTAAGCTGTACGAAGAGTTAATATAGAAGGTGGTAGAGAAAGGTTGAACGTCATTTGAACCAGGGCACTACTGATTCCTAAAGTTGATTCTTAAAAGACACGTTTAGATCAATGCGTTATTTATTTAGTAGTTCGTCGACTCTGTCGGTTACAGACGTTGGTCTGTTTCTGAAGATGCCCAATTGTTGTTATCTGATAAATATCTTAGTTGTTGTAGTGCTAACTTCTTGAACTTTTTCGTATCTTATGAGCATCAAAAACATTTAAAAATGGCTAGCATTATATGCTGTAGATAACACCATCAAGTAAATTTTCTCATGCTTTTTTGTTTTTTTCTCAATTTTCTTTTCTTTTCTTTGGTACTGGGCTTAGTTTTTGGCAATTTAGCCAAAAGGAAATATAGTCCCACATTTCAGTAAACAAACATCGTTCTCAGCTCACTCTGCTTCACCTATTCTATGCTGAATGCAAAGAAATCTTAGAGTACTGTTTTGGCTTTTTTTTCTTGTATTTTTAAACTGCATCTACAAAGATTTTATTTTTTTGGTAGACAATACATACACCAAACGAAGAATAATTTTCTCTTTAACTTTCTTTTCTTACTCTAGTTCTATTAATGTAATGCATAGACATCAATGGTTGTTGTCAGTATATCTGTTGGTTACTCAGCAATTTTAAAGCAGAATTAAATTGAAGTGGCACAGCTATGCGACTAATGAAAGGATTCAAAATGGACTCTGTTTGCACTTTCCCCATTTCTATCAGTACCACCAAAGAATTGACGATGTTTGCAGCTGATGAAGTGAACAAAACATTGAAGAATTAAATAAAATAAGTATAAAAACTTACCGTTAAGTAATGAAAGAAGAAAATGAGAAAGGAAATCTGAATGTGGAAATTTTTTGGTATTTTTGCCAAACTGTATGAACCGTTTAGCGATCACTGTTTTTTGTTCACCATATATTTTAGTTTCATTGTATAGTGGTCATTTTACTGACATTTTTTTCTTCTATAATGTTCTACAGTTTACTTTCAAAATACGTAACTTTTTTCTTTAGCTACAATTTTAATTGTTGTATATCTTCTGAAATTAATCACCGGAAAACCGTGAAAAATCAAAGTGACGAAGAGAAACCAAAAAAATGTATTTTTTTTGTGTTTTAGTAACTGCTCCTTAAATTGTCTGATTGTTCAATAAGCTTTTTATTTTATTTTGACCCACTCGTCGATAGCAAATTTTCGTGTTCGCTTGTTTCTTCTTTATCCCATTCTTTTATTCATTATTTAGTCTTTTTAGTTTATGCTCTATTGCTGTAAAATAATAGAACTGTAGTTTGGCTAAAGCAGGGCTATTGCAAATGCTGTAATTTAAAGCAGTTTTAAGCTTAAAATTGCAGCAGTTGTAAGACATGATTTCTAAGTGATAATCTATATAGTCGGTGGTAGTTTAAAAGTTTCCACTGACAAGTTTTTTTTTATTTTAATTTTTCTAAAAATATGAATAAAGTTATACTTAACAATGCTAAAAAGAAGAAGAAGAAGAATGATATATAATTTTTTTAGCAACGTTTTAAGTGTTTATATTGTAATTAATATGCATCAATGACGTTAATTGTGCTCTATTTGAAACTTTAAAATAAGCTTAAATGATTTTACTGCTGTGACAATGCTTAACGTTCTTTCGGCAGTTAGCAAGGTGATGTTTATAAGGAATACAATAACAATTCAATATAGATTCAAACATTTTTTTTTTTGCTTTGACACGTTATTTTCTTTTAATGTTCATAACTAATGAAAACAATTGGAGAGGAGAAGAAAGAAGAATAGCTGTAGTATAGTAATTAATGCATTTATTTTTACAGTCTTCGGGAGTTGGTGATATATTTTGGTTTAGATAATTATGTACATTTTCATCTGTCTGATAATCTTGAAGCAGGCAATGAAGCGGAAGTGAGAATGTGATAGTACAAAGTGAGAGGAAGTAGTTTCAATGATGCGAGTGGTGATAATAGTAAATGGGGAAAGTTGAAGAAAAATAAATAACTGATACATAACTTCATCGGCTTTTTTTTTGTTTGTTTTATTTTTTGGTATAAAAGTATAATAAAACCAAATATGAATTCTATTTTTCTGTGTTATAATGTTATTACATATCAATTTTTGCTTTCTTATTTGTTTATTTTTGTTTTTTTATTAGTTATACAAACAGCGATGAAACTGAATTAACGTATATTAATTTAGTTAAACCTTGAATTCGGCAGTTTTAAAAATATTTCGATTTTGGTACTTATACTTATAAGTTACTTATCTAAAGATAGAAGAAATGCAGGAAAGGAAGTCGGAAGAATAGGGAAGAAGGGAGGGTGAGAGGGTAAGAAGGATAGGGGTAATAAAGAAGAAGAAATTTATTGCTTTTTCTACTATTTTTATGTCTCCGATTTTTTTTTTTTACGGTAAGCTGATGAGAATAATTTGCATACTCACCAAACTTTGAAAATCTCACCAGCTTTCTTCCGTCATGACTCCTTCTTCACCTAAAAAAAGAGGAAGTGAGAAGAAAAATGGCAAGCTTTTCTCTTTTTATTTGTAAACACAGTAGCTTAAAATAGTTCTTTCAAAGTGGCAAAACTGAGGGTATGCTAAACTAAATATTTTCTTCTTTCTTTTTATTTTTTACTTAGTAAAAAGATTTTGAAATGAATATAATAAGAAAAAATTTTGTTTTAAAATTCTTCACATATCGTCTGCTTTATCAAACTTTTCAATGTATATCATTTTGGTTGTTGTTGCCGTTGCTGATGTCGATGTTGATGATTACGATGCTCTTATTGAAGCTCTTCGTGTGGATCCTGTCGAAACAACGTATACACATATATTTAGAAAAATATTTTTGTTGTTTTCATATCGTTGACTTAGTCATAACCTTTTCTTACGTTTTCTGCTTTTATTACTGTCTGTAACTGTTGCGGAGGATGAGATAAAAATGCGTCTTTAAGATGCTAAAAAATGTGTATTCTTTTTAAGCTTTCTTTTTTTTCTTTTAGTTATATTACTTGCTTCCTTTTTTTTTCTTAGTAATGATTGTTATGTAAGTTCAGCTTGATTTTTTTAATGAAGAACGATGCAAAAATTTTAATATAGCGATAAGCTGTTGCTTGTTTTGCAGTTATGTAAAAAAAAAAGCATTTGGATCTGGTAACATAGTCTAACGCCACGAGCAAACGATTAGCTTTAACTTTGTACGATTTGGAACTGCATAAGGATTTAAACAATTTGAGCACTGTTTGCAGCTAGGGCACTGATAAGACTGGATATTTGTTGCTCAAACAGTTTCTGTTCTTTTACAATGGCTTCTTTTGTTCCATAATGTGCTTTAACAAAATCTGTTAATACTACTCTGAAGAAATGTTGTGAGAAACACACTGCAAACTTTTGTGGACTCCGCTTTTCTGATGCGGATTATAGGATTTTACTACTGAGGTATATTAGAGATATTGCTTCTTTGTTTACTCAGCAACATCAAAGTGGAACACCACAGAAAAATGTAAAATCAAATCTTTAACGTGTCTACTGCCGTATGCTTTGTACTAGTTTGAATTAATCTAATTGATAATACAGGAAGTTGATAGAAAACTTGATAAAAAAACATATTGCACATTACTGTTTTGACTGCAAATTAGGCTGCTGATAAAGGTAAAGAGCGCTTGATGCGTATCAAAGGTTGCAGAAGAAACGAGCAAAATGCGAGGAGACGTGAGTTACAAAGAAGTTCATTGATAGAGTAAAGCGACTGAATGCTCAGCTATAGAACTAAATAAATTTTCTGAGAGAAAAAAGAAAGTAAGTAGACTGAAACATACTTTTTTATCATACGGTCAACACTGATTCATCAGTATCAGCACTGTATGTATTTAAGTACCACATCTTTTTTCAGTATTTCACTATTCACTGCACTTCTTTTACAAAACTTAACACCTTACAGCACTTTTTTGAGCAACTTTTATCAGATATTTTCAGCTTTAAGAACTTTGCTAGAATCTGCATACTATTCTTGCTAAATTTTTGAAACTGCAATTGATTAGCGCATTTGGCAGATACTTGCGTTTACTACCATCAAATTTGGTTGGTGTTACCTCGCATCTACTCGAGCGTGATCTAAAAAAGACAACTGAAGGTGATAGAATAATTTGATAAAATTATAAATTTGATTTGAGAAAAAAAAAAAAAAA